TCAAATACATGGCATCAGACAATTGTAAGAAAATGTTCAATTTATTGCAATGTTATTTACATAAAAATCATACATCAAACATTTATTATTGTATAAAAATATCTAACTGTTATACATGGGAGGATTTTTTTACCTAAACTTACTGTAGAATAATCTCAAAAGAAATAGTGAATTCTTTTAAATAATATAATTTAAGACTTGCAAGTAGTACTGTAAACTAATTTATTTCTCTCTAGACTGCGTCTTAATGATTCTGCCACTGTGTTGGATCTTGTGCTTCTTACATATTTAGATGGTGGTGGTGAAGGTGAAGGACCATATTCAGGGCTTTTGATTGAAGAGCTAGAGCAGCTAGAACTTCTTGAGGAATCTAGGGGTGGTGAAGGAGATATGCTTAACCTCTTCCTTTTCCCAACTACTGATGATGCAGATGTGCTAGAGCCAGCATTTTTTGGCACCTTCTGTGTTGAAGATGAGGATATAATCTCTCTGCTGGTTCTGACTTTAGCTGGTGGTAATGAGGAAGAGCTAAATTTAGATTTTTTCTGTATTCTTGATGGTGATGATGGTGATGTAGTGTTCCTACAGATTCTTCGAACTTTTGCTGGTGGTGGAAGTAATGGTGAGGAGTTGGATCTGGTATGCTTTGCCATCTCTGAAGGAGGAGGTAGTGATGGAGACATGCGGGTGAACTCTGGAACTTTGGATGGTAGCGATAAGGAAGCACTAGAGTTTGGACTAATCAGAGCTTTTGCTGTTGGTGATGGTGAAGGACTGACTCTATTACTTGCATTACTTTCAAGAGTCTGCAATGGTGAGAAGCCAGATTCTGAAGATTTATGAATTTTCTGTAAAGGTAGTGATGGTGACATGACTTTTTCTTTAACTGTATTTTTACTGACTTTGGGCTTTTTATGAAGTGATTTTCCCAAGCCTGGTACTGAAGACTCATTAATGACAACCTTCATCTTTGGATGCATCCGTCTCTGGTGTAAAACATGCTGCTTTTCAAGACAGTGGCGATCTGGGCAGTATGGACAAGAGTATGCCTTTTTTTTCACATGTGTTAAAATGTGCTTGCTTAAAGTAACTTTACTTAGAGTTCTGTATGGGCACTCAGGGCATGATAAGAGCTTTTCTTCTATATGAACCACCATATGTTTTTCTAACTGGACTGGTTCCCCAAATGTTTTATTGCAGTTTTTACATGCATAAATTTTAGGAGATTTCTTTAGATTTCTTTCTTCTAATTTAGTTTTGTCACTAACTTTGCCACCTTTAACACTACCTTTGTCATTTTCACCACTAACTATGCCATCCTTATCATTTGCTTTGCAATCCTTTTCACCAATTTTCCCATCTTTATCACTCTTCTCTTGAATGCTCTGTTGAGAATAATTAATATAAAATAATATGGGAACACTAATCAAACAATTTAATCTAAATTGAAGCATGGATGAATATGAATAAACATGATTTCACAGTCTTTAGATTATTAACTGATTTTGAATATGAGAAATTATAGATGTGATTCTCTTTCACCGCCCATCACTTGAGGCAAGTAAAGCCATGTGATCATACATACAGTGGACAACTGAAAGGTTGGCTCAATCAAGGCCAAAGGTGATGTGAAATTAGGATTTGTCCAAAGGTATTAAACATCAAATTGAAGTACATATTAAATTTAAGTACATATTAAACCTAACTGGAGCAAGGGGCTAGTAACCCCTTATCCTGTATACATTACTAACGTTGAAAAGAGAAATTTTTGTTTTTCTTTTTGGGCCACCCTGCTTTGGTGGGATACGACCGGTTTGTTGAAAGAAGAAGAAGAATTAAACCAAATTGAAGTACATATCAAATTGAAGTGCAAATTAAACTGAAGTACATATTAAATAAAATATGGCACTCAACTTTTGTTTTCTTTTTCTTCTTGTAAAGTATATGTGCAGCATGTAAATCATGTGTTAAGTAAGGCTAAGTTCAGTAAGAGCATTTAAAACTGTAATGCCTTCAAAAATATGACAGAATTTTACATACGGTACTGTAGATTCTTGGCAGCATCAGGTAAACCAAGAATTTTACCATATAGAGTGCATAGTCCAAAAGAAACACTGCAGACCTTCCAGCCACTAAGGCAACCTATTCTCTGCTCTCCATTCTGAATCCACTGTCACACAAAAAGATCAAAGTTTTACCCAATTTCTCTGATAATATAATACAGTGGACCCCCGACTAACAATCAGCTCCCAACTTGACCAATTATGTAAGTGTATTTTTGAGGTGCTTTTGTAGGTGTATTTTTGGGGGTCTGAAACGGACTAATCTAATTCACAATATTCCTTATGGGAACAAATTCGGTCTATAACGGCACCCGATCAGACTTCTGGATTGAAATAATATCGTTAGTCGGGGGTCCACTGTATAACCAACATTGACTGGTTACGGTTTAGGTTGCCCCAGTAATCGAAGAGGCTCTAGTAAAGACTACTAGGATGGGGATAGGGAAGCCCCATATTGTTCCTCAGGAAAACTACCAAAAATATATTATTTCCACTATTTTGAACCCTATTTTCAGCTACTTCATCTCAATTTCCCTGTTAATATTCCATTCTATTAATTGATACCCAGAAACAGCCAATAATACCATTAAAATTACACTAGAAAACACCTCAAAATTTTAAACAAAAAATAAAGTCAAGAAGTTTGCTTTTCTCATCATGCACTGCATGGGGCATGATTTTTTTAAAATGTGTACACTGACTGCACAGACCCATTATCTCAAGTCTAGGCTGAAATTTACCACTCATACCATATCTGAGGGTGCTGTGCTTAAATGTAGATCTACATAAGCAAAACTGGCATCAATAACATCTATCTATGTGGAAGACAGTAAAAGGGTTAACATCTATCTATGTGGAAGACAGTAAAAGGGTTAACATCTATCTATGTGGAAGACAGTAAAAGGGTTAACATCTATCTATGTGGAAGACAGCAAAAGGGTTAAGTGAAAAAACTCTAAAGAAAGGTACTATTAACCTTCTACTTCAATAAACAGCTGACAGGTATGGTTACATTGGGAAGTTAAAACGGTGACTATGGCATAAGTCAAATATTTAGGAATTTAACTAGATTGTAGATGAATGGTTCACAGAACCGACACGTTGATAAATTAGACACATGTGCAACTCTTGGGTATCTTATGCTTGTCTCAAAGATTAAGCCATGCAGGTGCAAGTACAAGCTGAAACCGCGAAACCGCAAACTGCTCATTAAACCAGCCTTATTTCATTGGATCTGTAAACCCACTTCCTTAATAAAGATACCCAAGAGTTGCACATGTGTCTAATTTATCATTTAACTAGATACCAGAAATTATGGCTCACTCAAACACCTTTAAACATAATTACTAAATTCAATCAAGAGGATGAGTAGGAAATTAGCACACAGACATCAATGCACATTTACTGCTATTCAGTATAAACTTCTGAATAAAAAATTATATGCGTCTATCAAGAGTCCTGAACCCTAACTCAGTTCTTCCTGCAAGTCATGCAATGCATAATAAACACTGAGAATTTTTTGCCTTTTACAACATAGTGGTTTTCAGGACCATAGAAAAGATTTGTTTGGATTTTTAACCAGGAGGGCTAGTCACCTAGGATAACTCAAGAAAATCAGCTTGTCATCAAGGACTATCTGTCTCATTTCCATCGGAGTCCTTCAATTTTGTCCCCTAAGATGCGACTCACACAAGTCGACTAACACCCAGGTACCTACTTACTGCTAGGTGAACAGGGATATCAGGTGTAAGGAAACGCAACCAGTATTTCCACCCATGTTGGGGATCAAATCATGGGCACTCAGCGTGTTAAGACAGAATGTTGCTAACCGAGCCACAGACATACGTACCTCTAGTGTACGTATTTCACTAACCAGTGGTGACAGTTCATACACACTACAGCTGATATGTATGGAAATGTAAAGTATCTCAGTGCAACTCAAAAACAATGAAGCCACTTGAAATTTTGAAAAATGCTATAAATGGCCAACAACATAATTTTCAGCTAACTTATATAAGAAATATGTTGATGTGCTGTATCATTTCCATTAATTAAAGTCTCTTAATCAGCAATCTTGATCTAACTCATGTTCAAGGAATCCTCCAAGCAAAAATTTGACACTAACCTCTGAGTGTGTAGATTTATCTGACATAACCTCAGAAAGTTCTTGCTTGACTAAATTCCTTTTAAGTCCCTGAAAAAAAAAAATATTTTTTATATATTCCAAAGAAAAATGCTAAAATTTACAGTCTACAATCTTAATCTAATTCTTTTTTTTTTATTATTATTATCACACTGGCCGATTCCCACCAAGGCAGGGTGGCCCGAAAAAGAAAAACTTTCACCATCATTCACTCCATCACTGTCTTGCCAGAAGGGTGCTTTACACTACAGTTTTTAAACTGCAACATTAACACCCCTCCTTCAGAGTGCAGGCACTGTACTTCCCATCTCCAGGACTCAAGTCCGGCCTGCCGGTTTCCCTGAACCCCTTCATAAATGTTACTTTGCTCACACTCCAACAGCACGTCAAGTATTAAAAACCATTTGTCTCCATTCACTCCTATCAAACACACTCACGCGTGCCTGCTGGAAGTCCAAGCCCCTCGCACACAAAACCTCCTTTACCCCCTCCCTCCAACCTTTCCTAGGCCGACCCCTACCCCGCATTCCTTCCACTACATTCCTCTCCATTCTCTCTACATGTCCGAACCACCTCAACAACCCTTCCTCAGCCCTCTGGACAACAGTTTTGGTAATCCCGCACCTCCTCCCAACTTCCAAACTACGAATTCTCTGTATTATATTCACACCACACATTGCCCTCATACATGACATCTCCACTGCCTCCAGCCTTCTCCTCGCTGCAACATTCATCACCCATGCTTCACACCCATATAAGAGCGTTGGTAAAACTATACTCTCATACATTCCCCTCTTTGCCTCCAAGGACAAAGTTCTTTGTCTCCACAGACTCCTAAGTGCACCACTCACCCTTTTCCCCTCATCAATTCTATGATTCACCTCATCTTTCATAGACCCATCCGCTGACACGTCCACTCCCAAATATCTGAATACATTCACCTCCACAATACTCTCTCCCTCCAATCTGATATCCAATCTTTTATCACCTAATCTTTTTGTTATCCTCATAACCTTACTCTTTCCTGTATTCACTTTTAATTTTCTTCTTTTGCATACCCTACCAAATTCATCCACCAATCTCTGCAACTTCTCTTCAGAATCTCCCAAGAGCACAGTGTCATCAGCAAAGAGCAACTGTGACAACTCCCACTTTATGTGTGATTCTTTATCTTTTAACTCCACGCCTCTTGCCAAGACCCTCGCATTTACTTCTCTTACAACCCCATCTATAAATATATTAAACAACCACGGTGACATCACACATCCTTGTCTAAGGCCTACTTTTACTGTGAAATAATTTCCCTCTTTCCTACATACTCTAACTTGAGCCTCACTATCCTCGTAAAAACTCTTCACTGCTTTCAGTAACCTACCTCCTACACCATACACCTGCAAACATCTGCCACATTGCCCCCTATCCACCCTGTCATATGCCTTTTCCAAATCCATAAATGCCACAAAGACCTCTTTAGCCTTATCTAAATACTGTTCACTTATATGTTTCACTGTAAACACCTGGTCCACACACCCCCTACCTTTCCTAAAGCCTCCTTGTTCATCTGCTATCCTATTTTCCATCTTACTCTTAATTCTTTCAATAATAACTCTACCATACACTTTACCAGGTATACTCAACAGACTTACCCCCTATAATTTTTGCACTCTCTTTTGTCCCCTTTGCCTTTATACAAAGGAACTATGCATGCTCTCTGCCAATCCCTAGGTACCTTACCCTCTTCCATACATTTATTAAATAATTGCACCAACCACTCCAAAACTAATCCCCACCTGCTTTTAACATTTCTATCTTTATCCCATCAATCCCGCTGCCTTACCCCCTTTCATTTTACCTACTGCCTCACGAACTTCCCCCACACTCACAACTGGCTCTTCCTCACTCCTACAAGATGTTATTCCTCCTTGCCCTATACACTAAATCACAGCTTCCCTAACTTCATCAACATTTAACAATTCCTCAAAATATTCCCTCCATCTTCCCAATACCTCTAACTCTCCATTTAATAACTCTCCTCTCCTATTTTTAACGGGCAAATCCATTTGTTCTCTAGGCTTCCTTAACTTGTTAATCTCACTCCAAAACTTTTTCTTAAACTAATTCATGTTCAAGAAATTACAGGAAAAGTCTACCACTAACCTTTGATGATTTGGTGTCATCTGTTATCACCTTGGAAAGCTCTTGCTGAACTGAATCGTTTTTAAGTTCCTGCAAAAAAAAAAAAAAAAAATTACCACTTACAATTCAAATTAAAAATAATTTACAATCTTAATTTTATTTATGTTTAAGGAATCCTTCAAGAAAAAACTGCCACTAACCTTTGATAGGGTGGTTTTATCTGGCATAACCTCAGAGAGCTCTTGCTTAACTGAATCCTTTTCAAGTTTCTGAAAAAAAAAAAGTAGGCTTATTGGCTAATGATGATTAAGTCTAACCTTCATACACCTATTACACTTTTCTACACGAGTAGAATGGGTAGGTGCAGCCTAACATGGGCAAGAAAGCTTACTGCTGATCTTGTATTCTTGTATCTCTGAGAGACATGTTTTGTTCAGAGAAAGCTATGCTGCATACCTGACCTTGATATATAATAACTCAAAAGCAATACTAACCTATTACAGATTGATTTTTACTTTATTTTACTTTTTTCCATATATTTGAGTGTTTGGTTAAACTTTAATAAGATATATGTATCATTAGATAGAAGGCTACCTTTTATTTTGCATAGATAAAATCAGAGTATGCAACCAATCTCAATACAATGGCTTCAACATAATACCAATACCTAGTGCAGTACAGGAAACCTTCAATTTTTTGAACTTCAGAAACATGGAATAAAATCTGATATAGTCAATCAATTTGAAAATAAGGAACAAAATCCACTGGTGACAGAATTATCTGTCATAGTTGTGAACACAATCACCAGTACCAACTACCCACTCCTTCCTAGTAGTCCAGTAAAATGGGGTTTACTGTACTTGAATTTTCAAATTTTCTACCGTCCCTTAGTTCTTCAAGTTATGAGATGTGTTAGGAAAAAGTGAGAATTTTGAGGCAAAAAAGTCAGAGGTAAACTTGTATAGATTGAATTTACAGAGTAAAATGGCATTTTTGATGGGTTCAGATGGAAAAGGGTTCAATTAAAAGATCCCTCTAAAAATCCAAAAATGTTATCTATGTCTTCTAATTCAATTCTGACAGCTGGCACCATACGTGAGAAAAGCTCAATGTGCAGGCACCAGACACAAAGTCTAGGACACACTTAAGCAAATAAAACTGCCAAACCTGCCTTGGCAAATAATCAAAACCACATCTCCTAAATCAAGAAAGAAAAGCATCATTTCTATACTATGATATCCTTACTATAAAAATAGATTTAATTAAATTATTGCAACAAAGATGAATTACTTTTAACAATTTAATAAAGAATATATTTATTAGAACATTGTATTATACATACTTGTCTGTCTGCTTCATCTTTGGGGCTAATTAATCCTTTTTAAATTTTGAACTCATATGCAAGATCAAGTAGTCGATCCAAATCTTTGGAACAGAAATCTGTCTGGCCCAGGTACATAAAGTCAAGCAGTGCCTCCAAAGTTTCATGTGAGGTTTCTGTTAAAACCAACACTGGATGTTCACATGGTACACACTCAAGCAACTCCTCAAAATATGGACTACAAGTACACAGAACAAACTTGTGAACAGCATACTGTTTCTCACCGCAGATCAGGGTAACATCAGCGAACAATTCCTGGAATGAAAAATTTTTGGTTATGAAGTTTGGTTTTTTCCTGCATTTGCAGTATCTTTGGTACATGGCTGTTCAATGCATGTGTGATGAGTTTCTATTGCTAAATGTAAAGGGAAGACAATTTTTTATGAGTTTCTTCTTTTTTGGGTCACCCTGCCTCAGTAGGAGACAGTCCGTGTGTTAAAAAAATAGTGTACTGTTATATGGTACAAAAATACTCAATTTACATGTTCTATCAAATGACAGTAGGAGTATGTATGTATGTATGTATGTATGTATGTGTGTATATATATATATATATTTTATATATATATATATTATATATATATATATATATATATATATATATATATATATATATATATATATAATATATATATAATATATATATATATATACAGATACACAATTACACACCCAGTGTTGTTTGTCTCTATGCTGTATACTGAGAACCCTTTCTCTACAAACACTCCAAGCTGCATGTGTGTGTACATACACTGAGAACATTTCTTTTATACTTCTTTTGTGGTTTGAGATACAATAAAACTTTGTATGATGCACATCTATGCAATGGATTTCAGGTAAAAACAATAAAAAATCTGTCCAGACAAAGACTCAGTAAATCTGCCATATGAAGGTGTGTGGTAAATTACCATGCAATAGACCAAGTCTGCTGCATCACACAGTTGTCTGGTCCAGTCATACCATCAAAGAAATGGACTAAGTCTGCTTCACTGTAGAATTGTCCAGTTCTGGCTTTATCTATGACCTGTCTATTTTCACTGCTCCTGGCAGCAGAGCCAGTGGCTCACTTTATATCAGTTTGCTATTACCTGGGTGCATATGTACTGACATACTATCGTCATGTTGTCTCCAATTTTTCCCTAGAATTAGTGTTTATCATTACTTTATTGAAGTGCACTGTAAAAGCGTTATTAACAATGGCCTCTAAAGCAAGTTCATATTTTACATTCACATGCCATGAAGCATGTGAACTTAAGTGTTAAGCAGAAGATTGAATTAATAAGGAAGAGGAGTTGGGCATCTCAGCGGCCAAATGTGTGGAGAGTGTGGGGGAAGCACAGCAAAAAGTGTGTGACATTCGTAGAAGGAAAAAAAAAACTTACAGCATAATCTAAGAAGTACACTAGAGGTTAGTTGTTCTGAGGAAGAATATGAATATGGGCCCCAAAATACAAGGATTCAGTGCAAGAATGGTATGTTCAACAGTGTGCTACTAGTGTTAACATTCGTTCTGTTAAGCTTTGTTCTGCTACTAAGAAGCTAGCAAGCTATATGGGAATGGAATTTGGGGCAACTGATGGTTTACTCTGGCATTTCCATAAATGCTTTTAACTTAATATAAAACATTTATGGTAAGGCTGGTATTACATTTATGTCTCCTCAACCATCTACATCTGCTGAACCATCTACATCTCCCATACAATCTATTTGTATATCTCCCACACCAGCTACAATATTATGCTGGAGCTATACAGCTCCTCTGACTCACAATAAAAGTTATTCTGACTCAGAATAAAAATTATTTTGAATGACCACTAGACAATACTGTAATCCAATTACGAGCATAGCCACCAGAAAAGGTAAGAAAAATTGTTGTACTCTACTGTATTGTACTTTTATCTCTTATTTTCAGATACCAAACTGTAATTTACTGTACTACATTGCAATATTATAGTTTATTCTTAGTATGTCCTTTACTGTCATCAATACAGAGGACTCAGTTCACTGCAATGGGCATTTGTCCAATATGGTTGTCCATCTATGCAATACATGTTCTTTGCTGTTTCAATTTCTTCCATACAGTGGATTTTCATTAAAGTGGACAATCACTTTCCCATATCAGTCCCATTTTAACAAGGTTTCACATACTGTTATTGATATATGCATGTATGTGCACAATAACTATGTATGTACATCCACGTCCATACATGCTACAGTGGTACCCCGAGTTTCGTACAGCTCCCAACTTGAACAATTATGTAAGTGTATTATTGTAAGTGCTTAGTAAGTGTATTTTTGGGGGGTCTGAAATGGACTAATCTAATTTACATTATTCCTTATGGAACAAATTCGTTCAGTAATGGCACTCGAACAGCCTTCTGGAATGAATTATAGCCGAAACTCGGGGGTACCACTGTACAATGCAAGTGTGCGCATGAATGCGTGTACGTGCATGCACATGCACTCATCTTGGGGTGCATGTGTGTGTGTACATGAGAGAGCATGTGGATACGTGTGAGCATGCATGTAAGTGAGAATGTCTGCATGCACATAATATAATATACTGTACACTGTACAGTGGTCCCTCGTTTTTCATAATTAATCTGTTCCTGGAGGAGCTACTATAAACGAAATTTACGATTTGCGAATCAATTTTCCCCATAAGAAATAATGTAAATACAATTAATCCGTCCTGACACCCAGAAGTATTAAAACAAAAAATTTTTACATGAAATATACATATAGTACATAAACAACACAATGAGAAATGATGAATGAAACATTAACAGCATAACACTTACCTTTATTGGAGATTCTTCTTAGTGTATTGGAGACTGGAGGAGGAGAGAGATTGGATTGTTTACAGTTTGGAAGGGGAATCCCCTTCCAGCAACACCTCATGTACCAATTGCTTCTCAGGGGTTGCTTCTCTTCTCTGTTTCTTAATGCCACTAGGACCACCTTGAGAGTCACTCTAGTCCTGTCTCGCAAAGTAACTGTGGGAGAGAGCTCTGTTTCTGGCGTCTCTTTAACACTTCCCTAAAAAAGGCCCCAAGACTTTGTCACTGTACATATTTCTCACCTTCTTTACTACAGCTTGGCACTAGGGGCTTTCTTTGGAGCCATGGTAGCTTATTTAGTAATTGCAAGCACTAAAATGAGTGAAATATTATGAAATATTTCGGAGGAGCACTTGAGGGGACCTTCACTCACTGGTAAACAATGCCAGAGTGCTGGGTAGGGAGGCCGCCCCGGCTCACGCCGTGCGTATGCATCCCGGAAGAACTACTATTCGCGAGTCAACCTATGAAAAGCGAGTCCATGTTTATTTCGAAAATACCCCTATGATTGGCGAAATTAATGATTGCCGAGAACTACGAAAAAGCGAGGGACCACTGTATATATAAAATAGTTAATATAAAAACATCACTTTACCTTGTAACGCAAAGTTTCCATAACCAGTGTAAGAACTTGTTTATGGTCTCTCCATGTTAATATAAGCTGTAGATCATCCTCCTCCTTCATACTGATTCAAACTGAAAAGAATTATGAAGTCAAAAAATTTGTTTAAACACTTGGATACAACATAGCACACTTAACTATGCTTTTAAAAAAAACATGAAATCTAGTCTATGCCTAAGGAGCAAAGAAAGACAATCATACCTCGCTAATATGGCAAATCAGCCTTTTTTTCACTTGCCAGTTCATATAACAGCCTAAAAATATGTTTACACTGTCATTTATCAGTATGCACTAGTGCTAGGGGTCTAAAAAAAAAAAAAAATGCAAAAGTAAAAATGAATAAAAAAATGGTACTGGTCAGCTGATGTGCGTGTCACTGCCAAAAATAATAATCATGGATATAATTGAAAAGCTCCATATTAGTGAAGCGCTCTAAAGTTAAGCGTTGTATTAGCAAGGTATGCTAATACATGTATATATATATTTTGTCCAGGTTTCTGTTAGACATAGGACAATTTTTTTTTTTTTTTTCAACAAGTCGGCCGTCTCCCACCGAGGCAGGGTGACCCAAAAAGAAAGAAAATCCCCAAAAAGAAAATACTTTCATCATCATTCAACACTTTCACCTCACTCACACATAATCACTGTTTTTGCAGAGGTGCTCAGAACACAACAGTTTAGAAGCATATACGTATAAAGATACACAACATATCCCTCCAAACTACTAATATCCCGAACCCCCCCTTTAGAGTGCACATTGTACTTCCATTTCCAGGCAAATATAATGACATAAATCCAGTGGGATATCTTTGTTACAAAAGGGCCCCATTTTTATGCTTTTTAGGTCCCGATTCCCTTTTCAGAAGGAAAATTGCTAGAGATGTAAAAAACTTTTTTTTTTATTAC